CCCAGGACACAGGAACAGAAATGGAGGGGACAAATGGAAGCAAACAGGTCGATCTAGGACTGTTGGATTTAGTCAACCAACACTGATTGCCTATCCTTCCTTGCATTCCCTCTTAAGGAACTTCTGAAACTTATGAAAGATGGGGTGGGTTAGGAAGCCAAGACCTCGGGAGGCAAACCTTGGCCCCTTCAGTTTCTGTGCAACTTGGAGCCACGGTTTTCTTATCTGGAAAAAAAGGTTGATGACAATAATAATGACTTCCTACCATTACACCAATGATTAAGTGCAGTAATATATATTTATCTTAGAATACTATTTGATACCAGAGAAAGACATGTGCACAGATATGGAGGTTCAGCGTTCAGTGCTGAGTAAACAGCTGATGCAAAAACTCAAAGGTAGGAACATAGCAGCTCTGTTCCAAGATAGAAATCATGGACGTGCAATATGATCACGCCTTAGAGATGTATTTCTACCCCTGTGCATGTGGGGATAACTTATATAGGCATCTTCATCCCTACCAAGGAAGAGTTGGAGAATGGGGAAGACATTGCTATGTGTCCTGGATGTTCTCTCATTATGAAAGTGATTGATGACAAAGATCAGTTTATGTGTGGAGAAACAATCCCAGCCCCTTCCACCAGCAAATAATTGGTTAAAGGCTGAAGGCTTGAGGAGTCAAAAATTCTAAACAATTGGAAATGAGGCAAGGTGGAAAAAACAAATGTCAAGTTACAGGCCTCTCCCATAGGGACACCAGTTTTGTGGTTTGTTATTGCGTTAGATTGTGGATTCTTTACATCAGATTATAAGTAAGCCAACATATGGATTTTATGCTTAGAGCTTTGAACTCTAAGTGTTCTCAATTTTTCATCAGAATTGTAAAGGAGGATAATTTCAAGTCAGTGCTTTCTTTCCCTCTGTTTCATCATTTTAATGTCTTAAACCTAATTACTTGCTGTCTGATAGCAGCAGTATCTACCCCAAAGTCATTAGTATCCCTTATTTTTGACTTGGTTATAAAAATAATTCAAAGTAGCCCATTTTACAGTTTGACATTATCTTTGCTTTGGAAACTTTGGAACTTAAGACACTTAGTTGCCTTGTCAGTGCTGCACTTTCATCTCCTGCACCAAGCCTCAGGCTTGCCCTTGGTCTTGCCCTTTTGAGAATGTTCATGTTCTATGAAGCAGGCCTTTTCTGTTACACTCCATGCAGTGTTTGTCATGCCATTAAAGTGAAAATATAGTGAGCTCCCAATTTCTCCAGGACTAAATGTTCGTGGATAAAAAAGAAAAGTCAAAAAGTTAAATGGTCACAAAATTTGGAATTTCCTCATGAATATTCTGTATTTTTTTTGAAAACTGGAAAAAGTCAAGGAGCTGAGGGAGGTAAAATTCATAACAGAATGAGAGGAGCAAAATATGCCAACTTAGTAAGTGGAACACTTGAATAATTTTGCCAGACCAGGGCAGATATTTCTATATCTGGATGCTCACTTGTTTTTAGAGTAGGCTAATGAAATTGCTCTTCAGATGGGAGTTGATGTCAAGTCTTTATGACTGGCAACAATGCTTTCAGCACTATCACAGTATCATTTTACTTAACCTAAACAGTGAAGCACCTACAATAACTCTGTTTGCTGATGATTGTCTTGAAAATGAGAAGCCAAATCTGAATAGATGTGTCCTTGGGGCATATCTAATGCACCTCTATAATCTGTGACCAAACCAGAGGAACACTCTGACAGAAGAATGTTGTCCTGGAGAAAAATAAATATATAAAGAAAGCTGGGTCATCAGCTTTCCCCCATTAGAATGCTGAGAGGAGCAAGAAATTAGAATCAATATGGAAATTTGAAAACTCCCCTTTTATACACAACTTTCCTGCGTGTATATAAACTTAACAAAAATGCACTGACGTCTGGCAGGTTGTTTGGGAAATGGATCCTGCATTTAGAAAGTAAAATGGCTTACCAGAATGTGAACATTCTATTACTGTTAGCTGCACATGGAAACAAGAGGTTTAAATTAGAACGTTTGTAGTCTTTTATTTTTGCCTGCCAGCACCATGGCTACGTGTAGCCATTTGACTGAGAAATAATAAATCATCAAAAGTTGGATGATGGAAATGCTTGGTATGTTATGAGAAGCACTGTTCTATTGCAGATGTAAAGAAACGGCATGTCCTTCGTATGATGAGAAATTTCATTGCTATGTGGGATAGAAACCTCAGAAGTAATCCACAGCTGCTTTGCCAAAGCTGGTGTTGGAACCATTGATGGCTCAGACCAACAGAGCGGGAAGTGTGATGACACTAACTGGAATGAGCTACAAAGAGAAACAAACTGTCCCATACTCAAATGTCAATGATTTTGTAGATATTGATAATGTGTTAGCTCCCTCTACTGATTGTGAATTTCAAAGGAGAACAGGCATTCTCAAGGTAGATCTATTTTGAGCACAGACGAACAGGAAGAAAATTTGCCCAAGTCCAAATATCCAGGAGAAAAGAAGCATAAATAGCACTGGTGATCAGTGATAAATTGCAATAATGTGAATGATGTTGATGCCAAAACAACAGTCACTAGATTTGTTTGTGAACTACAAAATAACACATCACGATCCAATCCTGTTAAGCAGAATGTAAAACCAGGATCTCTCAGATATGACTCGAGTTCTGTATGATATATGTATCTTATTTTAGCACAACAGACAGTTCTGGAGCATCTACTATAAGAAAGCTAGTTTGTAATCCAGGCTCCATCTCTTCTTAGCTTTGTAATCTTTGTCATGTGTATAATTGGGAGACTGGATTAGGTTATCTAAACCATCAGTTCTATAATTCCAGGTTTGGTAGCTGCAGGAACTGAAATGGAAATTGAAACCTTTACTCCATAAGCTCATACTATCTAAAATCATGTATTATAAAAAAAGAGAATCCATTTTTCAGTAACCTGATGAAATGGTAACAGAACTGCTAAATTTGAAAATTATCAAATTATAAAGTCACCTATTTAAATGGTTCTGCATGCACTGTAGTATACACATCCAGAAGCACTCCTCTTGGAAACTACCCAACATATTTTGAAAACTGTGCATATTAATTTATTACCAGGGTAGACAGTATATTGGTATGCTAAATAAAGCCAGATAATTTTTTAAAACCCATACATCATTTCACTCCTTTGCTTGAACCTCTCTATTTCCCATTACACTTAGAATAAAGTCCAAACTCCTTCTTCTAGCTTACGCAGCCTTGCAAGACCCTCTGGCCACAAAAAGATAAGAGGGAACAAACTCCAAGCAGAGAGAGCTGGTGCAAAGATATAAAGTGAGGAGGAGCTTGACATATTTGAGGAGCAGAAAGGCCTGTGTGATCTCCTCTCCTACTACTCTCCCCTCACTTCCACTACCCTCCAGTCACTATGGCTTTATTTCTGTTCCCTCTGATCTTCTTATGGCTGATTCCTTCTTGACATTTATATTTCAGCTTAAATATTACCCCATCAGAGAGAACTTTCCCTGATTTCCCAGTATAAATGCTTGTGCTAGAGATACAAATTTTGAAGCACAGTTGAGATTACTTTAGGAGAGAATATAGAGTAACAAGAGGGGCTTTGATAGAGCTCTAAAACCTCTAAATTGAGGCAACATTTAGAGTTCATATAGCTATTAACTCAGGACTGTCAGGATCCAAAACTTCTCTTTCTAAGATACTAGGCTGTCGGGCTTCCCTGGCGGCGCAGTGGTTGAGAATCTGCCTGCTAATGCAGGAGACACAGGTTCGAGCCCTGGTCTGGGAAGATCCCATATGCTGTGGAGCAACTAGGCCCGTGAGCCACAACTACTGAGCCTTCGCGTCTGGAGCCTGTGCTCCGCAACTGGATCCTCAATGTGATTGTATTTGGAGGTGGATCTTTGGGAGTTAATTAGATCATGAGGGTGGGGTCCTCATGAATGGGATTAGTGCCCTTATAAGGGATGTGTGAGAGATACTATCTCTCCACCACATGAGGACACAACAAGAAGGCAGCAGTCTGCAAGCCAGGAAGCAGGTCCTCACCAGAACCCCACCATACTGTGGCACCCTAGTCTGAACCTTGCCAGTCTCCAGAACTGTGGAAAATTAATTTCTGCTTAAGCCATTCAGTCTGAGGTATTTTGTTAAAGCAGCCCAAACTAAGGGGGTTTCAAGAAGGAGGGAATAACCAATGTAAAATTCTGCAGAGTTGAAGTATTGTAATGGTTAAAAAGTGTCTATTCTAGCAACATGGTTGAGAATTTTGACTGGAAAGGAGAAGTTAAGTCTGTGTGTGGTGAGAGGTTTGGGGTGGTGTGGGGTTGAGAAAGGTGACTTTGGAATATTTTAGATGAGAGAAACTTTGACAATCTTTAAATGCTGATAATAAAGGGCAAATAAGCAGGGAGCCGTTGAGACACGAGACAGACTAGTTTATTAGTGGAGCTCGACTGAGTAAGTAAGAAGGAATAGGGATGTAAAGGGGATGAGGGAGTTTACATCAAAGGAGAGTAGTTGGTTTATTATTATTATTACCATTTTTATTATTGCAAAAGAATGGGAGAAAGGATTGCTGAGGGATCCAAGGAGGTTAAAAAAATTTCGTGGCGAAAGTAGAGGGAATTCCTGTCAGATGAATTCTATCTTGTCTGTGAAGTAACAAGCGACGTTACCTGCTGAGACTAAGCAGGGAGACGGTGGGGAAAGCTCGGCTCTTCATTTATCCCGCCGGTGGACTTTTTGTGGCCGGGCATTCTCTCGCTTTCTCTAAGGAACAGCGCTTGATGTTGTTTATGACAAGAATTGTTGACGGAGCGAGTGACAGATTCGGCGATCGGCGATAGGCCAGCCGAAACTACCACTCCCAGAATGCAGTGCGGCTCCTGGGAAGTGCGGAGGTTGGGAACGCAGCAGGCCCCTCCCCTCCTCTCGCTCCCATTGGAGGAGCGCTCATATTCCCAGGAAGCCGCGCGCGGGCGGGGCGCTTTTGCGGAAGCCGGCGGCGTCCGGTTCAGCCTCCTCCGGGAGCAGGCAGTTGGCGACCCCGCGCTAACCGGCGCGACTCTGTCCCGATCCCCGAGTTCTCACACGGTGTCCAGACAGGTAAAAGCAGCGGGGAGCGCTGGGCCGAAGGCGGGGAGACGATGGCAGAGGGAGGGCAGAGGTGTCGACGGGAAGGTGGAATTAGGAGGCACTGCAAGGTTGACTAGGGCTTCTCTGGTGTCGACAGTTCGAATTGTCGGACAGGTCCAGTTTTGGTGAAGTGCGTTTTATGCCGCTAACAGGGCCTCGAGTGAAAGAGTCAGAATGCGTCACTTAAGTTGTTACAGAGGAAAAAAGAATGTTAACTTTCCCTCAGTTTGCATTCTGCAAGACCTCTTTGTACCATTTGAATATCTTGAGATTTCTTGAATCTTCTAAAAACTCTCTACGCCCTTGTTTCGATGACGTCACTTTCTGCTTAACCTCCTACTTCTAGGCTCCTAGCCCTCTGCGTGCCCTTCCTCCAAGGCCCAGTGTTGTAATTCCTCTTCCTCAGTTCGGATAGGAGCTCTATATCTTTGCCCCGACCTATTTCCTCAGCGTCAGACCTGTACAGTGTTGTTCTTCTTATTACTATTGGCCAATATTCAACAAACTGACCACGTACTAGATTCTTTAGTAAATGCTTTACACCTCCCTCCTCCATAACCCCCACAAACAATCAGTTATCAAGTCCTTTTCTTTTTGTCTTATTAATTGCTCTCAACTACCTGTACCTCCATTGTCCCACCCTTGATCCCGGAGTATACTGTCATGTTTCGGACATTTTTTCCCTTTGAAAAGCTGTGACTGAGAGCAGAGCCACTCATATGTTTTGTTTAACACACGTTTATTGAACAGCTAATATGTGCTAGACACTCTTCTAAGTGCAAGGGATATAGCTGGAAACAAGACATAGAAGATCGCTACTCTCAGTAGCTTACATATTTGTGAGTGTGTGGAAGGGGCAAACAAGAATCAAGGTGATGTTATATGGTGGTGGTGGTGGTTAATGCAAAATAGAACAAATGTTTTACTTGACAGGGTAGTCTCCTGTCCTGAGAAAGTTAGAAGGGTTGGGTTGGGTCTCAGAGCATCACCCCAAAAGAATATTTGTAATACCAACAAGAATAGTCTTGATCTGTGACCAGACTTCAGGATTTTCATAAACACTTCTTCTTTTTCTCTCTCATATCAATGTTTGTTCTTCATTCTTCTGTCTCCTCCAAGGTTATTACATCAGAATTGGTGGCTTTTCTGTCATCTGCTTAGTTCCTCCCTAAGAAAAGTTGAGGATTGGATTATTCTCAGCTCGACTCCTTTATCTTAGGGAGATAGTTTGGTAATCAAACTATTGTTCTTGCCAGGTCCTACTGAATATAAAGTTATCTGTCATTTATAGTATATTTAAAACCAAAGCATGCTCAGTGTTTATTAAATATTTGAGGGATTATTATATGTCAGGCACTGTGCTGGACATTGAGAACCTAATAAGGATAAAACAGACACTTTGACCTCTCTTCCAAGAAGAAATAATTGTATACTGAGGGAATTCCCAATACATAGGCTGACACCTGCATTTTTTTTTCTTCATCCAAGATGAGATAATCACAAAACTTTAAGAAATCTTCTAAACAATTGGGTGCATTCTTAGATTATTCACCCTTAAAGTTTATTGCATTTATTTGTTTATGTCTGTCTTCCATATTTTACTATGGTTTCCTTGAGTATAGATGTCCTTTCTTGCTGGTCTTCATACCTCCAGTGTTTACTATATTGGGTGCCATATAGTAAAGCCTTAGAACATGTGTTGAACTGAAATAGAAAAACTATTTGAGGAAATACAAGTTACTTAATTTATACAAGGCCTTCTTTTTACATATGGCCATTAGACTTATCCCAAAACCTTCTCATTTGCCAAATGTGGACCATTCCATCTCATCAGGCTAGTTTATTTACCTTCTCAAGCATGTTCTCACTTCTGTGCCTTCTCTTGTTTCATAGCTGTCTCCTAAAATGAGTTCCCATCTTTTTCCTGAGCACCTTCCATGCCCCCCACGTTTAATTTAATGGGACAATTTAATAGTATGCCCCATGATACAATGGTGGAAAAAATTTAATTTCCATAATGTATTTCCTGTGAAACATTCTGCTAATGAACTGTTGCAAGGATTAAACATAATGCATTTCCTTGCAGTAATACAGATAATGATACAAAATGCTTTCTTTTGATTTGGCATTGGCTATTGCCATGCGCTATGTGACGAGTTAATTCTTCCATTTCTTTCTTCCGTTTGAATAGTTGCGCAGTGTTTATTCATATAGCACATTATAGTATCATTTGGGTTCCATTTGGTACAAACACCTTTGAGTATTATTTTTTGCTTAGCTTGAGATAATTTATGAGTTAGTTATTCTTCCACACTGTCATTTTCAGAATGTCAGAAAACTAAGTCTCAGTTCTTAAAAATAAAAGGCTTTTTCCATGCAGATATCTTTCAGATGTAAATCGTTACTGCAAAGTATAAATTTTGTCCTTATAACTGATTAAAAAACACAACAGGAATGCAAGAGTGCTTGAGTCATGATTGTCATTATGATTTTAGGATGTGTCAGCCTAGGAGCAGCCAGACATGCCTCCAATACATTAAAAGTTAAGCATTGTTTTAGGGAATTTCTTGGCACCTATGCCTTCGTAATGCAAATGCAGCACTGAATTGTTTGCCATCACTCATTTATATGGTATACATGTAGATAATCCGGGTATTCGTATATATTTGTAATGTTATCAAAATAAAAATACAGAATTAAAAAATTTCTCAGAACACAAAGACTTGAGTGTGAGAAACACTGACTCGTCCTTTTACCCTACTCAGTTCCCTGAAACCATCTTCAACTTCCATTTGAAGATGCCTCCACTGAGGAGGGACATTTATGTTGTTGCTGTGCTATTTTGTTAGCAATATTTTTAATGCAGGCAATCCCTTACAAATGGATATATCCCAGAATTTCCTTTGTAAGATTACTGTTTGAAAATCTGGGTGCATTTTTTTCTATAAATAATGCTACTTATGACATTTCGGTTGTTAAGCCAATGAATAGCATCATATATAACCTTTAATGGACTTAAAGACCTTGACCACAATTTCTAATAATTCCTCTATAAAAAACTACATTCAGAATTCTCACTCGGATTCCCCCGTAGCATATCTTTTTTTTGGAATCCCAGCAACTGAAACAAAAATGTTCTTTCCTTAAAACTTTCTGGGCAGTAGAAACTGGTCTTTCTAACTCTAAGCTGTTGGAGGTTGCTCTTCTGGCCCATCATTCTAAGGACAGGCCTCTAATATGATTATGGAAGGATGTGAGACAGAGGTTTTGGAGAAGAGAGGAAGGCAAGTTGGAGTGATATGAATATGTGGAGAGGGGAGAGTAGGAGTGATTTGGGAGGACTGGTGAGTTCCCAAGATGGGATTTGTTGTGTCCTCAAAAAAGATGTTGAATCCTGACCCCTGCTATCTGTGAATGGGACCATATTTGGAAATAGGGTCTTTGCAGATGTAATTAAGATGTAGGTTAAAGTGAGGTCATACAGGAGTAGGTGTCCTTATAAGAAGGGAAGAGACACAGAGACTACCATGTGAAGACATAGACACACGTGGAGAATGCCATGTGACTATGGAGGCACAGATTGAAGTGCTGCAGCTACAAGCCAAGGAACGCCAAGGATTGCCAGCAAACCACCAGAAGCTAGGAAGAGATTCTAGAAGAGGTTCTCCCCTACAGATTTCAGAAGGAGGATGGACCTGCCAACATCTTGAATTCGAGCTTCTGGCCTCCAAAACTATGAGGCAATAAATTTCTGTTATTTTAAGCCTTGCATCTTTTGGTACTTTGTCACGCAGCCACAGGAAACTCATACAGGATTCTTAGCAGGAATGTAGTAGAACTGGGATGATGGCTATGGGACCAAGCAAGGAGTGAGTAAGAGAACAGGGAGGAACAGTGTTAAGACAACTTTCTTTTATATTCCATTATCTTTTTTTTTCTTCTCTTTCTGGTTTATAGTTTAATTCTTTTTCTTCTTGAATCTGATCTTATATAGCACTTTATCATTTAACGGACATTCACATACTGCTAATAATTAGCAGAGCCATGTTTTCGGACTTCAAATGCAGTATTCTTTTGGCCACAGTTGTTTCTATTGTCCCAGTATTCATTAAGACATTACAGATTCTATTGCAAGATAATAATAGTGGGCCCATGTGAGACTTGATTACAGGTGTGATTTTTAGCAGTATGGGAAAGAGTAAGAAATGCTTATTTGTTTTTAACATCTTTATTGGAGTATAATTGCTTTACAATGTTGTGTTAGTTTCTGCTGTATAACAAAGTGAATCAGCTATATGTATACATATATCCCCATATCCCCTCCCTCTTGCATCCTCCCTCCCACCCTCCCTATCCCACCGCTCTAGGTGGTCACAAAGCACCGAGCTGATCTCCCTGTGCGATGCAGCTGCTTCCCACTAGCTATCTGTTTTACATTTGGGGGTGTATATATGTCAGTGCTACTCTCCCACTTCATCCCAGCTTACCCTTCCCCCTCCCTGTGACTTCAAATCCATTCTCTATGTCTGTGTCTTTATTCCTGTCCTGCCTCTAGGTTCTTCAGAACCATTTTTTTTTAAGATTCTATATATATGTGTTAGCATACAGTATTTGTTTTTCTCTTTCTGACTTACTTCACTCTGTATGACAGACTCTAGGTCCATCCACCTCACTACAAATAACTCAATTTAGTTTCTTTTTATGGCTGAGTAATATTCCATTGTATATATGTGCCACATCTTCTTTATCCATTCATCCGTTGATGGACACTTTAGGTTGCTTCCATCTCCTGGCTATTGTAAATAGTGCTGCAGTGAACACTGTGGTACATGACTCTTTGAATTATGGTTTTCTCAGGGTATATGCCCAGTAGTGGGATTGCTGGGGCATATGGTAGTTCTATTTGTAGTTTTTTAAAGGAAGTTCCATACTGTTCTCCATAGTGGCTGTATCAATTTACATTGCCACCA